AGGTGGGGAGGGTGGGGCGGCTCGTGGGTGGAGGGTGAGGAGGTTGGGCACAAGCGTGGGGAGGAAGTGGGGTAGTGGTGGTGTTATCAGAATAACAGATTTTGTTAGCAGAATAAGGGTCTTAAGGGTGTTATTAGAATAGACCCACCATATATATATATATATATATATATATATATATATATATATATATATATATATATATATATATATATATATATATATCTTTACCTCTGGACCATTCCGGAACTCCCCGTGACGTCCGGGATCTCATTCGGGACTCCGAACAACTTTCGGTTAACCTCATACTAATATCTCTACAACTCTAGCGTCACCGAACCTGAAGTGTGTAGACCCTACGGTTCGGGAAACACGTAGACATGACAGAGAAAACTCTCACGCCAATAACCAACAGCGGGATCTGGATACCCATGTTGGCTCCCACATGCTCCACGATGATCTCATCGGATGAACCATGATGTCGAGGATTCAATCAATCCCGTATACAATTCCCTTTGTCTACCGTTATAGTACTTGCCCGAGATTCAATCGTCGATATCCCGATACCTTGTTCAATCTTGTTACTGGCAAGTCTCTTTACTCGTTCTGTAACACATCATCCCATGATCAACTCCTTGGTCACATTGTGCACATTATGATGATGTCCTACCGAGTGAGCCCAGAGCTACCTCTCCGTTTACACGGAGTGACAAATCCCAGTCTCGATTCGTGCCAACCCAACAGACACTTTCGGAGATACCTGTAGTGCACCTTTATAGCCACCTAGTTACGTTGTGGCGTTTGGTGCACCCAAAGCATCCCTACGGTATCCGGGAGTTGCACAATCTCATGGTCTAAGGAAATGATACTTGACATTAGAAAAGCTTTAGCAAACGAACTACACGATCTTGTGCTACGCTTAAGATTGGGGCTTGTCCATCACATCATTCTCCTAATGATGTGATTCCGTTATCAATGACACCCAATGTCCATGGTTAGGAAACCATGACCATCCATTGATCAACGAGCTAGTCAACTAGAGGCTCGGAGGTGGCGCACGGGGGAGGGAGGCTCGGCAGCGGCACACGGGAGAGGGAGAGCTCGGCGACTAGGGCTGGTGTGGCCAGAGGCGAGGGAGGCCACCGGCTTATATAGCAGCACCCGTGTGTACGCGTGCGCGGGAGGGGAGGCGTCGCTGCGCCGCCCCGTGACGCGCCGCCCGTGAGGAATTAATGGCAAGGCTGACCGGCGGCGGCAGCACGGCAGCCTTGGCATTGATTCCCGAGGGAACCGAGACGATGAGGGCGACGAAGCGCCGGTCTCGCTGACTCGGCGGGCCCGCGGCTGCTTCGCGCCAAAACTACTCGCCCACGACGCCCCCCCCCCCCGGGCGCCCCACCAGCGCGCCGGGTTCGGCCTGAATCCGTCGGCGCTGATTTCGGCCCAGGCCGATAAAAATCGGGCTCCTGAGATGCGACTGGACCGTTTTTTCGGCGCCGACGCGAAAAAATCGTCTGGGGAGGCCTTTCTTGGGGCGTGGCTGAAGATGCTCTTAGTAAACGTTATTATATAGCCAAGACCGCAACCAACTGGTACTTTGATACACGAAAGCAACACCTGCACATAAAACTGAACCTCATTTATCTTATCAAACACAACGTCATCTCAATATAGTCAAAACGAAGGAGAAAAGAACACGCTGAAAATATTTAGCTCCGGTCTTGTAAACCTCCTAGTTCTACTAGTAGGATACAGAAGTTTTAGACTTGCCTCCATTTTGTGCTCCTTGTTACGCGGCAAACCTGTGGCGTTGGTTTCAGTTCAAGGGTAGGCGAGGAGATAGCGAATGAGGCAGCGAACCAGCGCCGCGCACGGCGGGTGGCTCGCATCCACCGGTGCTAGTTCCGGAGGCTTCGGGTTTGTCGCCTCCGGTGATCCATCCGCATTGTCACTTTCCAGGTGCACAACGCAACGGGACGACAGATGACCAACCGAGCCAAGCAAACCAGCGCCCCAAAATTTGGTTGGAGTTGCGCGTGGAAAAGAACACTAGCGTGCAAATTCGCAGCCATTTGTGGGAGACTGCAGCCAGCAGCGAAGCAGTACGACTCGACGTCCTTGCAGACCTTACCCTACTCGTCTCGCCACAGACGCAGCCGCTAACATCAGTGGAACCGCTGGTGCAAAGCATGCCAGCATTGGAAGTTTGGAACACATGATCTGATCTGCGTGGCTAACTGAACCCTTCATCAGGAGCAGGGCTGTACTGTCATGTCACACGCCGTAGCGGTTAATTAACAGACTTGGTTCGTCAAAACTTTGTTCCTGCACATGGTACCGAAGACGACAGCAACCTGTTTGAAATATCACAACTTACACATGTTTGGGTACCAACATCATTAGCAATGCCAGTTCTCAACCCTGTACTGTAATATTATCCATTTGTCTAGAGAGCATTACAATTTCAACACCTCGTTCTGCCTGACATGCTCACATAGGACCTCGGAAGAACAATAGCATTCACATATGTCCATATGAGGCGACACTCGCATTGTTTGCCCCAAGCTATCCAGAGGACGTTTGCTAGGCCAAAGGTCCTGCCCTCCGCACCCGAACACGCTCGCCGTTGAAATGGATGTACTTCCACTTCTTCAAGTATTTTTCAAGGACAGGCTTCTGCTTATCTTCCTGGCCTGAAGTTGCAAATGCTCGTCCGATTCTTCTTGTTGTATCCTCGTCTGGACGCACGCCCAATTCTTCCATGTCAGCATATATCTGAAATTGGCGAGGAAGAATTAGACTAAAGTCTCAACTTTGACCAACCAACTAGACACTACTTAAATGCAATTGATCATTAAAGCACAATAGACTGTCCCGCGATTGATATCATTAATTATTAACCTAACAGTCAACATATCTCCTTTCCAGTTTATTAGGATCATCTAAAAGTCTGCAATTTTTCAGTTTGTAAGGCCTGCAATAATTATCGCCCCTTGTTTATTTGCTCGCTCGCCTTTGGGGCATTTAATTTCTGCCTAATTTTGATTCTCAATGTTGCTTTAATCTAAGGTCCAACACTTAATTAGAACCCTCCTTGGTTACATTTTTACATGAGCTGAATCTATAAACTAAAAAAGAGAGAGCCTGGATGTAACAAACTCAAGTAGTTTGAGATGAACCACACATTTAGCCTTAAATACTACAGCACATGATTCTCAAAACGAAACACTAGAGCAAATGTGTTAAAACTCAAATTTAACCTCCAAAACTTTGTCTGGAAGATGGCGCGTGTTGTAAATCTGGATCATCCGAGAGAACAACTTCTTGGGCACTGAGCGTGTATAAGTTTGTAAGATAGTATTCCAAATTGACTCAGCCTCATCTACTCTTCCATCCATAGAAAGAGCCAACAGCAGTGTATCGTACGTTGTCCATGTCAGCACCTGACCTTTACTCATCAGCCACTTGGTTACCTGTGAAACCATTAAAAATTGAGAGGTAAGTGAGAAAATGAGCTTGCTGAAATTATTTATTTTTTGTGAATTACTGTGATCTATTCTAGACAGGCTACCAACTAACTATAATTTAGTTCATAATAAGTTACCTGGATAATCTGTAGCCATTTTCTTAGCTTTTTCAACATCTCCAAAGCTTTAGCCGCTGCTATAATAGGAAATTCAGACTCAAAAGCAGTCCACCTATCCAATGCACCATAAACAGCTTCTTTTTCATTCGGTAGTTTTGAAACCTAAGAGAGATGGTTCCATAAACTGATTTGAGCACAGATCAGTTAAGCCCAACAATACCATTGCTAAAAAAAAGATGCTTACACATAAGAGCAATACTAAAAGAAAAGAAAATGCCAAAGAGATCGCTTTGTGAAACTGATTTCACACATTTCAGCATGGAAATGTGAAAACATCATGATCGAGTGGCGTTATATCTTACAGTATTAACAAGACAAAGAGCCTTCTTCCCTGACCCAGCCGAATCCTTCCTAATCCACAAACGGTGGTCCTTGTTTGGCTTCTTTGACACCCTATGACCAAAATAAATGCAATTTAATTTGGTAACTAGTGAAGAGCATCTCAGAAAACATATCACAATCTTGGTAGCAGTTACTGCAAACTGGAGGGCCCACGTAAATCCAAACAATGCAAACAAGTTGTATTCTGATACAAAATGACCCGCAGAAAACCTTCCCTGGGAAACTCCCTCTAGAGCTCTTATTTTAGCTTTGACTGTTCAGCAGTTGTGCCTTTTCTGTATATACACATCAAGTGCTCTTAAATTCATCTCTAGTTATTCAATGAGTGTTAAGATAAGAATGAATGTATGGTCGCTGTATTATTTCTATATGGTATCAGAGTGGTCGATGTTCATGTCCCACCGGACTAGCTCTATTCTCCTATAGTTGAACATACTTGCTAGTTCAAGTGAGAAAATTGCTCTCATTATACCATATTGGCGAATCAGAAGAGACCAGACACACTGATCTTGACATTTGTTGAATAAATCATCATGTTTTCCCTCGGTATACTCTTTAGCTTACTATGTTTTACCGTAGTGATTCTTCATTTGTTGTAGACTTGTACTTCAAGTGATCATCACTTCACTTCTCTATTTATTCAATGAATGATATGTTAAGTGTATGTTGTTTTATTATATTCTCTCATCTACTACCCCTATAAAAGCACGAGAGGGCGGAGAACCAATACATCTCAACCGTCTAATGGAGAGATCTGACGATCAAAATCATCTCAATGTTTAATGTTTAGCATCAACCACGTGGTTAGTGTACGGTTAAGCCACTAAACTTTCCTCCACGCAGCAACCCACGCCCTCCGCTTAATCCTCCTCTGCCCCGCTGCATCCAACGCGCCCAGCCGCCCCTCCGCCCCGCTCCTGGCTCCGCGCTCGGTCGCCCCTGCTCCCCGTCCGCCCTTGCTCCTCTACCACAGCCAACACTCCACCAGTGCCCGCCGCGCCCGGCCTCCCCCGGCGTCCGCGCCCGTCCGGCCGCCCCTGCTCCCCCGCCAGTCCCCGTCCCAGACGCCGCCTTGCGCGCCCCCGCGCCCGGCCGCCCCCAGCGCGCGTCCGCTCCACGCCTACCCGCGCACGTCGCCGACGGCCCTCCATGCCTCCCACGACATGCCCATGGAGCTCTTTCTGCAACAAATCCCTCACCAATTGGAGCGCCAAGGAAACCCATATCCTTTCTCGTAAGTAATCATCATCAATAAGGAGCGAGTATTTATGCTCAATTATGTGCGTATACTGATTTCTTCACTTCCCCATGGATTTACCTTCACACAGATGAATAATCATCATCCACCTGCATCTCCATTACGATCAGAAGAATGTTCTCCATTTAAGGACCTGACAATCACGCCTAATCATGGGAATGCAAATGCCCTAGGTGAAAATCTGCGAGAACAACTGAATTGGGGTCAAAATTGGGATGCCCAAGTGTCTGATGAGAAGATAATGGAATACAACAGGAAGCGACCTACAACCCTCTCCATTGCCCAAAGTAATGTAAGCTAGAGGAATTCTTATTAATGCTTTAGTCCAGTTTAGAATCTGGTAAGGGAAAGGATACAATGTGCATGCATGTGAGTTGTATACATTGCATTCCACATGACAATTTCATTTGGCCTACTTACATGCCGTCAGAAGCTGGACATGGACTCCATGCAAATATATAGGCCTGCAAATAATTAACAAAACGATATACTAAGACATATCCATATCACTAACAAAGAGTGTAACTGATTTTCCCTTGATCTATTCAGCCCATGTCTTGTTAGCTCGGATCTTTATTTTGAGCATATGTTTCGTGTTCTACAGAGCATTCACCATTTTGTTTTTCTTTGTGGCCGTATATATTTTTGAAAAAAAATTATGATCTTGTTCTGGATTGATGGTACTACCAATAGCATACATGTATTTTTTACTTTCTCATGTTTTTAATTTTAGCTCGGCCATCGTTTGTAATGTGGCGATGCCGTATTTGTCAGAAGGTTGGTTTTAGTTTCTTGTTCATAGTTAATAATCATGACATATGGTAAGATGTCTTTATGGGCTCATATGTACTCTATGAAAATGTTACATGAAAAGCATTGCTAGGAATTTGAAATTGGGATGTGTACTGCTTATTATTTCCAATTTTGCACTATAGACTCACAATCCTATGATTAATCTTTTTGGTTGACTAGCACAACATTTTTTGATTGTGACCTCATTCTTAGATAGTTAAATGTGGCAGGTTGCAGAAATTCAAATTCACTATCTCTTCAGAATCAATGCAAATTCACTGAATGCTTCGTAGCTTCGTGGAATATTGCCGCTTACATTGCAAATACTTGATCCTTGATAGCTATGCTATGTTGATCATGCCAATAAATGTTTGGAGACAGGAAACATCATGTACAAGTTATAATATATAGAAAATATTTTTTACGCACCACTAGCTCCAAGGAATTGTTTCCTCTACTTGAAACATAGAGGTGAGTGTTTGATACTCCTTTAATCATGTATCTCCTTACTGAAACTGAATGCAGTTTTTGTTGGCTTGGAGGAATGTCTGCACCAATCCACCACACTCGAATTAGGGGATCACATACAACGTGGTGGCAAAAATTGAGGTGATGATCCATCAGGTTCGCCTCATATTTGTTTTTGGGAATGACTTAATTGGTCCCAGACACTTTTTGTGGCCTAGAAAATATCGTAAATGTTCACCGGTCAGCCGCCTCCTCCGCGATTGACTCCCTGCAGTTATTGACCCAGCACGTTGATTGCTCTACCCCATATACCCACTTCATTCTTGCCCTAATATATTAACCTACTGTCACGTTGATCCGTTTATCTATTTTGAGCATATGTGGCATGGTCTACAAGGTATTCAGTTTAGATTTTTCTTATCATGGATTCAGTTTTTTATTGTAGTTTGTGGGGTTATTTTAGTTACTAGCTTGCAACGATTCAGTTTATCCACTGCTGCTCCTAGAGGGTGCATTTGAATGATGAGAAGGTGGAAGTTAATAACTTCATATGGTTATCTGATTTCTCTACGAGTGATTTCCTTCTGTTTTGTTCGGGCAAGCTTGATTTATATGCGCTCACATGGTTAATGCTCTCTTGCAGTATATGCATGCAAGGCACTGTTTGGGTTGGCTTGCATTTATGGGTATGTGATAAATCTGAAAGAAACTTATGCCATGTATATCATGTACTACCTGAAGTTTTTGCAGCCGTTGAATGTAGAACCCTTGAAATTTTTCTTATGTACTTCTAATTTTCTCCGAGCAAAGACGTTTAACCTACTTAAGGACAAACATACATATATTTCCACAAATTATTTTATGATCCATGTCGTAAGAGTCTTTCTATCTACCAAACTATATACTTGTCATGAACTGGAGTTTTTTGGTTTTCCTTTTGTGTACATATTGTGTATGAAATTGTTCTTTTAGAGAAAGGAAAATTTTAGTATGCTAAATACTTGTCATGAACTGGAGTTTTTTGGTTTTCCTTTTGTGTACATATTGTGTATGAAATTGTTCTTTTAGAGAAAGGAAAATTTAGTATGCTAAATAAGAGGACAGACTTAGAAAATGTTACATTAATTTGTTTACATTATAGCTTTTGTTCAGTTGATTGAGTTTCACGGTGCATGTGGATAAACTGAATCGTTGGCAATAGTTGAAGGAAGATTCAGGGGTTGAGCATTAGGTACGCTGCAATCATGTTGATGCTCCTCAAGATCATGCCGCCATTATTGTTATCCTTCAGAGGGAACTTGACCTACTAATCAGCAATGAATTTTATTGGTAATAAACCAACATCCTACAGTTCTACAATCAAATTTTAGTTGACTGTTGTCTTACTATATATTGTAGGTAATTTTTGTTCTTATATTTTTATGGGCCTTAAGATTAACTTATCGTTATTCCATTTCACAATCCCAAAGCATGTAAAAATATTACTTCCTCCGTCCCATAATTCTTGTCGTGGATTTAGTTCAGTTGAAAGATTCATTGTGGATTCACTAGATTCATGGTATCATTTTAAGACAGATTTATGGCTATGTCATACAATACGTAGGTAGGCGTGTATGATTCTTTTTCAGTAAAAAGTATTGGTGCAGAGCTAGAAGAAAACCTTGAGATGGTCCAACTTTTTGTAAGTGTGCTATTGTTAGATAGTGATTTGCATGGTATCTCGTATTTTCCTATGATTATACGTGTGTTACACGTGCATGCTTACTAGTACAGCAAAAAAGGAAGTTTATTCTAATGTTCATCTGAACTTTTTGTATCACCATCAGGTGAACACAGCTTGCTAGTTCGGCTGAGCAGAAAGATGGTCCACTCTGATAGCATTTTGACAAACAGAATGATATCAATCACACTCATCTTGCCATTAAATAGAGGGAGACACAACTCATGGACTTGAGATGTGTTTATCGATAACAGAGCATTGACAATCTGGTACAGTTCGAGAAATGAAAGCAGCGTACATAAGGTACTCACTTGAGTGGTTTTCCCTTGACGTAGGACATTGCTTAGAGAGGAACGTGGCCACATAACATAGGAGTTAGCTCTTCAACAACAATATTTCAGTTGTATGGCAAAGAACTTAATCTATACGAGGGAATATTTAGAAGATAACAGCAAAAGCAACGGTGTTCGTTTATTTTTCCCATGCTACTACTCCTATAATTCCCCTTACGGTGTTCTGGCAACATTTTGAGTCATGTGACATAGATTTGCACCAATGTGGAAATATCCTGAAAGAAATTGGTGTTATAGCACGTACCGGTAGTTTGACCTTTGACGGACGTGCGATACACGCTTGATTTTAGGATCAAACTCCACGACATTGTCTCGCCTGACAATAACGCATGCGATCACAGAAGTTGGCTCCTTATAACACAAAATCAGCATGGTCATCGAGGAGAAAAGGGGAGAAACAACATTGAACTATTGGGCCACCTACACCTACCTTCTATACTGTTATAGGGAGCTATGTTCTTGTTTCTCCCCTTTTCCCCTTGATGACCATGCTGAATTTTGTGTTATATGGAGCCAACTCCCACGACCTGACAGACGTCTTTGTTAAGAGACACAACGACATGGAGTTTGATCCTGAAATCGAGCGGGTGTACCTCAAATCTGGCAAACCACTGGTATGTGCTCTACCGACAATATCTTCTTCCAGGATGTTTCCATATTGGTGCACATGACCCAAAATATTACTAGAACATCATAGAAGGACCTATAGGAATAGTAGCATGGGGAAATGAACAAATATTGTTTACTTTTGTTGTTATCCTCTAGATATGTCCTCAAATGGATTAATAATCCTACAACTAAAATATTTTTGGAGCTAGCTTCTATGTGACGAGGTTCCTGCCTACGCAATGTCCTACATCAAGGGAAAGTCACTCAAATGAATGCTTTATATCTGCTGCTTTCATTTCTCGAACTGGTGTCAATGCTTTTCCTCTTAGATACATACATGGTTCCCTCCGTAAGGAAATATAAGAGCGTTTAGATCACTGTTTAGTGATCTAAACGCTCTTATATTTGTTTACAGAGGGAGTATGATTCACTCAATCCCAACAGTAGAAGAATCCTCTCCCCACCCCCACCCCCCACCCCCCTCTTGAGCAATAATTAGATTAGTTTGCTTTGCCATTGTGCTACTTTTGTTATTGCACATCAAGTGTTCTTCTACCAAATCTACTTATTTATATGACAAGATGTAGTCCTTTTGTATTCTTCTACATGGTATCAGAGCATCCAGTCTTCATCTTCATATGAGTTCACTATGCTCTTTGAACGGAGCTGGCTAGTTTAGGTGAATGGAAAATCATTTGCTCTGACACCATGTAGGTGGATGGAACGAGACTAAAAACTCGGCTTATCATTAACTGAATAGACAACTATTCTACAACAAGACCACTATGAGCAGCAACAGAAAATGCACACCAACAATGTGCTTTGTTTTCCCCTCTTGAGCTGTTTTTTAGATTACTTTGTTTTCCATTGTGCTTCATTACCACACGTCAACTAATCATTCATTCATTTCCATGTATGCAATGAATGAAAGACAAGTGTGTGTGGTCTCATTGTATTCTCCTACATTGTATCAGAGACATTGATCTTCATGTTCATCCAAACTCGCTCTGTTCTGCTAAAGTTGAACATACCTTGATATTTAGGATGAATAGGGAAACTGACCGATGTGATACAATTTGGCAGAATAGGACCACACACACTCATCTTATCATTAATTGAAGACGTACACAACAAGAGAATTTGACGTGTGACACTTTGGCAGCAGAAGAAACCAAACGTTAAAACACAGCAAAACACCCTCCATCACTCATTCATTTTCCATACAATCCTAGGAAAGGACCGGGTTCCACTATCAGCTGATAATGGAACGAAAAGAACAAAATAGGATCCTGGTGCAAAAGTAAAAACAGAGCTACGCTGCCGCTGAAGGCTAACAGCGAAAAACCAAGTCCAAAAGTCCATCACCCACCCATGCCTTCCCTATGTGAAGTGTTCTTCTACTTGAATCTATTTATGCATTGAATAGCAGATAAACATGAGTAGTCTAATTGTATTCTCCTGACAGTATCAGAACAGTAAATCTTCATGCTCATTTAACCTATCTAAGGACAAAGCCTGCTCTAACATAAATTGGATTTCATGCACCACTCAATTCACACACTGCTCCACCCCCCTCCCACCCTGAACCCTTGTGTCTAGGATTCACTAGGCCTAATTCATAGACTAGAGATCAGCACAGCTGTTCTTTTCTTTATATCATTGTTAGCTAAAACTTGAAGCATTGGTACCACAGTGACTTTTATTTACCGATCAGTTCATTCAAAGCTTAAATTGATAAGAGAAGGTGAACAGTAAACTTTAACAGGCTTTCTCAAATAGCAATATATGTAAATCCACCAGCATATCAATGCCCATATAAATCCAATGGTCACAGAAATTTACTCGGACAGTTAGAATTTCATAGAGAACATAAAACAAGCAATGAGAAAGACATGTAAAAAGAATCATATTCTATATTTCAAAACCCCAAAGGCAAGATGCTAAGTATATATGTGGAGAAATGAGGACGTATGTCAGCAAATTACTTCTGATGGACTGGAGGTGGGATGACTGACATGCCATCATCACCAGCCCCAACATTCATCACGGTAAAGAAAGAGGACCTTTGATGTATGGAATCAGCACATTGCGGCGCATGTGCTGAACAATAATATGTAAAAAATTAAAACTTAGATGTAGATGAATCGAGTTCTCTAGCAGAATCCTGACAACCAAGTAAAACGTCAGGATACAGGACTTGTCAAATTTTTCATTTACAAAAACAAAAACAAAAGTTGTGCCAGGTACCACCAAATGTAACAATAAGAGTATGTACCCAGTGAAATTACACCTAACACCACATATTGCTGCTCCATATCCTAAACAGGACTACCGCATACTAATAACAAAGTAACATGTAGAGGATCAGAAGTTAGTCTTCAGCATGTAATCTAAGTCCTAACTCAACTCTCGACATCCAGAACAAGGATTCTTCAACAATACGCTGTCCAGGGTCAGTAAACCATGTTCAACCACCTCACATAAAACCACTTTTTTGTACGCCGAACTGCATCACCTAATCATGCATAACAAATCAGGGAGCTCCTTTAATAGTAGAATTCCTACTAGACCAGACCGACTGCAAGTGACAACTGAGGAAGCGCACGACGCAGAAGGGACGCGCAATCCAATCCAATCCAATCAACAATCATCAAATCCGCTCTCACCGCGACACAGGCAGGCTGCAGCTATAGCCGTGCGCTCGGACTCGCTACCTTGAAATACTCCGCAGCTTGCAGCTCGAGCCGAGGAGCCGCTCACTACCCCCATTTCCTGAAGCCCAGACGCAGGCCACGAGAACCAACAAAGATAAGCTGGAGAAAACAGATTATCCGCTTACAGCGCTCGGCTGGTCGTAGGGTGGCCACTTCCTCGTCCTCCTCCCCTCGTCGCACTCGCCACCGTCGGCGCCGCGAGGCGCGGCCCTAGGCGGAGCGCGAAGGGACCCGCCGCCATTGCGCAACTAGCCCGCAGGCTATGGTTGGTGAACGGGTTGCTATGGAAAACGAGAACGCGATAATGCAGTCAGCTTTTTTTTCTTTTTTTTTACACTTCAATCCTCCTTTATTCTTTTTTCGATTTTTCGAGAAAACTTCTGATCTACAAGCACTGTAGCAAGCCAAAGGAGACCGCCATCATCGCCTCTCCCTCATCAAAATCGGTCAAATCTTATTATAGTAGACAGTCAAAAAATCATTGTGCTAAGGACGTGTTCGGATCTCCTCCTACCCCACCCTTCACAAATTTCTGAAGCGGGAGCCGAGCCGAATGATATATCAGCGAGAAGCTGGCTTCCGAAAGGTAAGGCCGAGGCCAGTGCAAAAATGAGGAGCGACGGCGGGCCAGCTCCACCAAAACTTGGAATCTGGAGTTCGCCTTTTTACATCTAACTGCCACCGCCAAGTGCCTTCAGATCGAACCGGGTACGCTCGCTAGAACAGATCGCTCCTCACTCCCTCGATCGAATCGGTACAGGGCTCCTTCTCTGGATCGATAGCCCAAGCCGGGCTGCCTCCAACCGGCCCAAACTGGCCCAGCAAGCTCCCAGCTGGGCTGCAACGTTGGGAGAAGCTGCCGATGCTCCCGAACTCTCCTGCGATCGCTAGATGGAGTTAGAAGAGAGGAGAAGAAGCTAGATATGTGAAGTTCTCAAAAGCCAGAGAAGTTCAGAACAGGCCCTAAAGCTTCATAGAACCAGTGCACTGGAACAACAACCGTCGTTATTCATTTTATCAAAATGGTTACATCGTCTACGAGCATAGGGATTACAACAGTTGGGGCCAAATCTGGCCAAGTATTAAGAGGAGAGAATCTAGCTCCCTCCCGATCCCCAACTCCTCCTCCAGCGCGCCGCCCCCTCCCACCCCGCCGGCGCTCCGCCCCTCCCTTCCCCA